ATAAACCATATTTTTACCATGAGATTTGTATTTAGCATTTATTGTGACGTTCTGAAATATTTATAATATGGAAAAAGAAGAAGAAAAAAAATTTCCATGAATTTCGAATTTTTACATTTACAAATAGGAGAAAAATGCATAACAGTTCAACGAGATAGAGATACTAATTGTTAACATTTTAGAGCATTCAAAATGGATATTGAAAGAAACACGAAATTTTTGACAGACAGAATAGATAATTGATAAAAATCACACAATTTAACAATTATAATAACACTTACTATGAGATGTTGTTGATAAATAGTAGAGATTTATGTATTTAGTTATGAGACTTAAAACATTATCCAGATCAAATTAAGTAGAAAAACTTTATCGATATTACTACAAAAAAATGCCATTACAACGCTTAGTATTAGTCAAATTTGCTAATAAAGTATCATTATATAAAGTTAAAAATGAATTAGAATTAGAAATATAAACCGATTAATTCGTGAGAATAACTGATGGAAATAAAAACAAGGCATATTCAGATTGATATTACTTGAAAATATAAATATGAAACCGATACTGAATAGTGGGCAACAATATTGTTTATGATCACAATATTTATTCGATAAAGTAGTATGATACATAAAAACACGTGAACTACTCAAGATGAATTAACACAAAACATGAATACATATATCAATAGTATTATTGATATGTGTGATGAAAACATTTATAAAAATATTATTAGAAACAGTATCCGTTTTGATAGTTCAGCTATCAAAACAATAACAGTAATAATATAATGAAAAATGAGTATATACTGATGAATTCGAAAAAATCTTACTTAAAAAACTTAGTCGAAGCTTGTTCCGATCGTTAAACCGGCAAATTTAAAAATTTGGTGAGATTTTGTTGAAATATCTTAGTACGAACTCACCGAGAAAATTCTAAAATTCTTTTCCATATCATCGATACCGTCAAATTCTAATATGTTTATGGTTTAGAGGGTGCAATAGTCACGATTTAATGGGTGGACTAAATAGACGTTGTAGATAGAAGACATCAGATCAATATTCTGTATTATCATGTTATATCTCTTTTAATGTCTCGGAAATCGAATTTTTCAAGAAAACGAATCAGAAATACTTTCACTTTCTTATGAAACATGTTTCAATATTAGAACATTCTTGTGTTGCAACGCTGATGAACGACTGTTTTGACATTCTCTCTCTACTTCGTATGAATTTTATGTATTTAGTAAATTAGTTTTTGATGTGCTCGTTGGAGCTGTGCCCACCACATTTATAATTTTCCATTACAGAACATAATTCTCGACATTGAATTATCGAATTACGATCATTTTGGTTACTCAATTTTTAGATACACATTTTTAGATACATTTGCTTTGTATCTTAGACATGTTGCAGATGTAAATTTGAAATTATGCTGAATTATGACCGATAATGAAAAATTGTAGACATAGCTGGATTTGAGCTATTCGCTACTGAAAAGTCGGCTCCAATACTCTCAGAATAATGATTTTTAAAACGAATTAATGGACTGTCACGCTGGAAAGCGCTAAAAGAAAATACAAAGATGTCGTCTATAAACCTTACGTAGCCCTTTTAACTAAAACATTTTAAATGAAAAAATTTGAAAAAATATAGTTTTAATTGTTAAAGCGAATTATTACGAAAAGCTTCTTAAAAACATATTGTAAAGAATATTCTCTGATAGTGTTACATAAAGTGTTACATAAAAATGCCGAAAAACACATCAGAGGCCTTTGCCAAGGGCTCAATCTCTCGAAATGGAGTTGGATTTCCAGGTTTTCTATAGGCTGTGCGATCTCGAAAAAACTTTCGAATCGTTGAATAAAGACGTTCAGGATTTCCGAGAGCATGCCATAAACTCGATATAGTGTAGTAGTAAACTAAATATAGTGTGGAAACATCGAACTTCTCATGTCATCAAAATCGGGAAGAAATGGCTCATTAAGCGCGCTTAATCACAGAATTTTTTGCTGATTAATCGCGATTCTCGGAAAAAATCGTCGATAAATCTCAATTAAGCGCCATTATTACTGAAATCGCAGATAATGGTCATCTAAAAAATACACGAGTTCAGCAATAATGGTGCTTAATTGAGATTTATCGCCGATTTTTTCCAAGAATCGCGATTAATCAACAAAAAATTCTCCTTAAAAATCGTGATTAAGCGTACGATTAATCGGCTGAAATCAGCCATTTTTTCCCGATTTTGACGACATGTTTTTCTGCTAAAAAAGATTGCTCTAGAGTATTTTCATACGATACTCGTACTATTTTACTAATGTGATTTATTCTGATTTTTTTTTCGAGAAAAATAAAACACGTAAATTATAGATCGAGAATTGATCAATAATTAGAATTAATTTGCAAAAGCGATTATGTTGAATTAAATGACAAAAGACGCTTGGTCGAAAACTTCTCTTAGTTTGCTAGTTACAACCATTTTACTAAATCGTGCACTATGCTGTTATCTCAGTCAGAAGAAAAGCTTTTCTCTCTGAATCAAAAGCACGTAGAAATATTCTGATGAGAGATTCTTATTCGTTAGAACTTGAACTTTTGAGAGGACCAATGTGAGTTTTATAATTTTACTATAGAAAACCTTAGCAAAGTGTTTAGCTAGTGGTATATTCGAATCTGAGTTATATGATAAAGTACGTTGAAAGTCTTATTACCCGTCAAAAACGTGTTCATCAGTTCTAATAATTCATGCCCATACGTTATGTGACAAGTCTATATGGGAAGGATTTATCAGCACAAACGAATATTACGTTTGCAATATCCATAAAAAAAAATATGTTTCATCCGAAAAAAGAAGGGAACACTTTGGAACCATTACTCATTAGTCTTATTGCAATATAGCACGAAAAAACGTTAAAATTATTGAAATGTTCGTTATCTCTTTTTGTTAGCATTTTCAATTCTCTAAGTGGAATACGTTGCGATAAACTTATTGGTAATATACTTATGGAATTACATTAAACTCTTATGGACTCACCTGCGCTTTTACTTATTTTCTATTTTTTGTTGTGTTTGTGTTAGTGAAGGAATCACAATCAAGAAGATAAAAACTGACATAAAAGAACGTCATCATTTATTTTTATGTGAAACTATGTTTTTCTGTGGAAGTTCCTGTAGATAGGTTTTTTGTCATTTTTTTTGACTATGTGGGTCAAATAATTTTTTTCAATGTAAAAAGATTAGGTTAGAGTTAAAATTCCATTAGATTTTTAATAGCAGTTTTTTCTCAGAACCATCGTTCTTCAAGTAGGCGTGAGGTGAGAGTTAAAATTCACAAATTGTTTTGTTGAATAGCACGTCTTACGTCGATTAACAAAACTCGTAACGACAATTTTGTTTTATAATAGAATAGATGATGTAAAAGTATAGAATAAATCTACTTTCTTATTGATGATTAGACAAAAAAAAATTAGCATACGGATATTAAACATGAAATCATCTTCCTCTATTTCTTTCTCTTCTTTTTGCGATGGCATGTTCAATCAAGTTGTATTAGCGTTATTCGTATTCTATTTATTATTATTTGTACAACACAACGAATAAATATGTAACCTTGAGAACAATTCATTTCTAAACTTGATTTAAGAAGAATAAAATATAAATATTGTTAAATCATCATTATTCTTTCAATGTTTCATTCTCTATTAATACCCAAATGAATCAAGTTATATAAAAAAAAACCTTCAATTTGTTTTAAAAAAAGTCGACATCAAATGACATATTGCTACATATAGTTTCGAAAAAAACATATGTTAGAGAGAAATATTTTAAGTATTTCTAAAATATTTTTAGAAATATTACTCTATTCCGTAGCATCAAATTCTCATGGTACTTTTAGCAAAATCAATTCAAGAATACAGATTTCGTGCAGCAATAACTGATATTACAAAATCAATGATATGTCACATACTTGCATTTTGTCATACTTTTAAGAAAAGAATCCGAACATTTTTAAAAAACTAGTAAAATATCAATTAGTTAAGAAATATTTTCTACTTATGTTTGTCTCATCGTGAATATGTTTGCATAAACAAAAAATGATGATAAAAATTACAACTGTTAAGGTATATGTGCGTTTCACATCTGAAATTAAGTGTTCAATAATCGATTTGACAAGTTGTTTCATATAATTCAAACTATGATCCGCAACGCTCAAGACAGAGCACATCAAATGGGCAATTAAAGAAAGCGAAACTGTTCAATCAAACCTGGTTAGACAGACTAAGAACATGCATTTCAAAAATGATGGGAGTTTATACGATTGTACGCTTTAAATATCTCGAAGTTCAACATCGTTTAGCTTTAGAAATATTTATCTCTGATATAGTCTGACATCTATAATCAGCCTTGTTTTGGTTTGTCCACTAAATGAAGGAGTCGTAGTAGTATATTTACACATTTTTCAACTTTTTTCCTATAGTCACTATCAGTATGGTTACTGTTGTCAATCACATATTCTGTAGCCGTTGATCTAACAATCTTTCGGTGACCTACCATGGCTCATATTAAAACTATATATATAACAACGTCGATATTCGATGTTTATATACAGATAAACGTAGTGATATAAATCACGTTTAATCATATCATCTATTAGTTGAAAATAAATATGAATGCATTCACTAAAATAATGCTTTCGAAAACATGCGTTCGTGTTGTACATCCCTTTGTATTTTCTGTCCGTACCAGTTCCATTTCAAGATTATCAAACGGCTTATTATTTCTTGGAATAGACACAATTTTGACACTTACTCGAAAGAATTCTCATTTGATTATCTTAACGTATTGAATGATCATCACCATAGTTTAAAATATGCTTTATGATCACTACACAAATTTGGTTTAGTATTTATTCCCAATACACCTCCTAATAAGTCTGCATCTGAACAATTATGTAAACGTTTTGGACCGATTATGACCACAACGTTTGGAAAATCATTCATGTTAACATCAAATTCAGAATATCATGAAGATTTAGAACGAAGCGATACTGTCTATACACAAATTGAATTATCTCCACATAATGATGGAACGTATCGTCACGTAGTACCAGGTTTGGAAGTATTTCATTTTCTTGAACACACAGGCAAAGGTGGCCTTATCCGACTTCTTGACGGATTCAATGTTATTCAAAGTTTAAAAATGGATCATTTTAATATTTTATCATCGATTCCCGCTCGATTTTCTGTTATGAAAAAGAGAATCTAGTATACACAAATTGTCCATTCCATAATTCAACTAAATTATCGCAATGAAGTTGAACGTCTTAGTTTTAATATTCAAGATAGGTGGTTAAATTCGCTTGATATAGAGTCAATTAATTATAAACACATTGAACTCTTTTACCAGGCATACCGGACTTTAGCAAACAGTCTTGCTAGTGACCAAAATCAAGTTGTTATTAAATTGAAACCAGGTACGATAGTTCTATTCGATAATTATCGTGTATTACACGGACGTACATCATTCACTGGTAAAAGATCATTATTTACGGCATATATACACAAAGACTCATGGATTAGTAAATTCAATGCTATACAAAATAATTAGTAATATTCATCTAATTGAATGTAAAAGATATTGTAACTCAATACGTTATCTTTGGTATTACAAATTGTTATAGTCCTGCAGATCTAAAACGTAAAAGCTAGATGAAAAATTATTGATAACAACAGAACATGACACACCTATAGCCTAACAGCTAATTCATAACAGCTTACCGATTGCATATTGTTTGCTTCATTCTTTAAGAGAATTTATACAAAATTTAATGGTGAAAAGGTGAACATAATTATTATATAAAAGCCTCGATACTCTTCAGAAAAAGGAGGCTCAATGGTACTTGTGAAAATGAAAAAATCCAACTTGAATTTGGATAATCATCATCCATCAAGTTTATTCAATTTGAAATCTTTTATTTTGAAGTTGCTACTGTGGTAAATCGTGTACGATATTCTTCGTCAATCAAACATTTTAAAATGCGATAAAGAATTAGACTTATCAATAAAATCACTTGTAATTCGGTTTTATTGTTCCTGAATTGTATTTATTCTAAGAAATTGCCGAGTTAGAAATTCAAACATGGATTTTCTGATAAAAAAAGTGTTTACATATTATTTCGATGTTTCGCTTTTATATTTTACATAAAAAAATTAATTATTTTTGACTGCCTTTCATAAGAAACAGTAGGTTTTTGTTTTCAGTTCATAAAACGAAAAAAGAACTTGTTATCAGCACATGTCGAATATCGTACCGTATCTACAGGTAGATATATATCAAATGTGTCACAAAATAAAAGAGCAATCAACTTTCTTTTGTGTGTATTCTATCTCAATCAACACGTTATGATATCCCAAATATAATTTGCGAAATAAATTAAACATGTTGACACTTTATGTTTAATAAATATTGCTTCTAGGCATTTGAAAAAGAAAAAGAGATATCCATAATAAACTTGAGAGTTGTTTTTAAATGAAGTGTGGGCAATTAAATGACGACTCTATTAAGTATTCAAAGAATTTTCTCTCTTTTTTTTTTTTTCTCTTCTCGCGTCAGGTACAAAAAACTACGCAACAACGCGTTCAACGTTAATCAGATTCAAGTTGCGTGTAATGAACAAAAAAATAAGGGTGTTTCTCGTGTATATAAAAGAGATGAGAAATAGAGTACGTCGATTTTATGATCATATAAGTGGTGAAATAGTGCAACTGTAACAAACTAATTTCACACAATTTTTCTTAAAAATATAAAGAAAATTGAAAAAAAAGTAATTCTGATACTAATTAAAATAACGAGAAAAATACGAGTTACAAGTATATTAAAAATAAAGACAAATGGAAAGACAAATTAAAGTGAAAAAAACAGAAAAAAAAAATATAAAACTATAAATATTATATGACAACCCACGCAGAATGTATGCAAGTTGTTGGCAAATTAGAAATTATGGTGTTCTTTTTAATATGGCAGCGCGAAGAACATACGGTAGACGATTAAAATTGTAGAGAGAGACTGTCAGCTGAATTTTATGAGACGCGTCTACATCAAAACCAATAGAAAAAGAAGTAGTAGAATAAGTCATTCTACTTTGAAAAGAGAGCAGTGCTCAAACGAACAAAGTTTCACTTCAACTATAAAAGTCAGCGAAGATGCCACGAGATATCAGTGAGGTATCGAACTATTGATCTCTTCGAAAGAATACTTTGATACATCACGATTTTTAACTTTATCATCTTTTTGTTTCAAAGGTTACCGTAATAACGGTTCATATAAATAAATAATAATTTATTATTGATTTCAAAAACTGAACGATCGTCATTTGATTAATTGATCTTAGCTAAATTTAAATCTGTAAAAACTATATACGAATCGAGTCAAAGCTTGAAATTATCCATCATTTTCATTTCTTAAATTTAGTAGAACAAATTGAAATTGTCTCACTTCTGAGCGGTTTTTTCTTATTGTATGTAAACGGAGATATTTTAAATAATAGAAGAACATATTCACATTGTTGTCGTGTTAATTATCTTCTTTTGATCATTGTGTACATGTTATTAAAACGATTCCTGTTGTGTGTAGTAAAGCACCTTTTTATCTCTAAATTACCTGATGTCAAAGAGAAGACGACGATATTATATAATTGTCGAAATTGTATATCTAGGTATGTGCCGTTTGATTAACTGAACAGAAGAGAGAATTGTGTTACATTCTTAACAAGACGATTGGCTTATAAGTGTGTGTTTTTCTTGATATTTAATCACTTTTTAAATACAATAAATCGTCATATACTATAATTAAAGACGATATCATATATATATGTATAAATCGTAGTGGTCATTGAACTAAATCGATCCCAACAGATCAAAAAACACAGGAAGAAAGAGAGGAAATGAAACCATAAGATATGACATCAAAATCAACATGGGCTCAATTTTTTGATTATTAACTGAAGCCAATTTTATTGATTCAATTCTTATTATTTACACATGATCAAACTATTTTTTTTTTCAGATGAACGCATGCAAATTTAAATGGACTAAAGTTTAAATTTAAGCTATTGGTGGTGTTGATTATCAAAACATTTGTTGAAAACTTATGCGAATTATACAATCGAAGAAAAATTGATCTTACTTGTTTTATGAAACAATGAGTTTGACTTGAAAAATTTTAGCTCAAAGTATATCGCGGTATCATCGTCAATTATCAAATGGTCAATTCTTTAACTAAAACAACTAGAACTTTATTGTTCATTGAAAATATGAACGCATCATTTTCTTATATTCTTTTAATTTCTCTTCTACAATATAATACTAAAACAAACTAAATATCACCAGATTTTTATTGTGGTCATTTATCTGCCCATCTCTGACATAGTGTATTCTAAAGTTTATCAGTTCAAATTTGATCCAGGGTGTTAATGTTTTTATTTTCGAAACATCTTTCACTAATATTAACAACTATTTAAAGTTTAATTTTATATTTCTAAAGAAAAATACATCTTAAACATAAGATGTCTAAATTGGTTGTACACGAATCAGTTAATTTCATTTATATTGTCAAAAAGATATACAAGAAACTATGATGGATTAAAATATGCATTTAAAAATGATGTAACTAATTCGTTCACAATCGACTTACATATTTTAAAAATTTTAAAAATTTATTATTCATCTATCTTACCGCTATTTTCCACAAATAGAAACTTGAACAGAATTTATAGTCTTAACGAGTGGAATTATAATTGTACCTAGTAAAGTGCCGCTAATTCAAAAACGGAACCGAACGTTTTTTTCGCGCTTTTTGACATGGTTGGATAGAGCTCAGCGAGGTGATTAAAGTATATGCCAATCTGAGTCTTTCGAAATCCTTTTTGGAAAGGAAAAAAATTTGGAAAAACTTGAGGGATGTAAAATCCTTCCTAATCCTGCTATTTCAAAAAATATCAAATTTTCGTCTATTTCATTCTTCAAACTGTTTGAAGGCAGATTCAACATTCAAAACTGAGTATGAGAATGATGTCTGATCGAGGTTGAAGTCAAAGGGGTGCCCGCTATGGTCCTAATGAACTGCCCTCCTCAAATATCTATAATCAATTTTGTAAACCTATCTAGTTTTTTGTGTGAAGGGATGAAGCCGATTTTCTTACTTCATTTGAACCATCAAGTGCTCGGCTTTAGAACTACTTATCGCTTTTATTTTAAATTTTGCTCCGTTGTTCAGAAAAGTCACTTTTATTGTAACTGTGTAAAAAAAACGGCGAGTCATTTTCAACTTTTTTTTGGTTTTGACTCAAATTTTGTTATAATATCGTCAAATAGGTAGAAAACCATGACAAATTTAATGGAGCTACTCTCGAAATCTCTATAGATTTTCCAGAGCGACTGTATAAAACTTCCACTCAAAGCACTTGTAAACACAGTGTGATTCATTTCTTAATTTTTTTTATCCTTCTGTCAACTATTTCGTTATGTCCTATCACAAAAAAACCTCTAACAAAAGCAAAAAAAAAACACACGTTACATTGTAGAAAACTGTTTAATTATCATTTTGTTTGCTTTGTTGCTGTTCGTTATCTTTCTACGGGAAGAGGACTGCTCCGGAACACAGGTTACTAAAAAAGAGGCATAAAAAAATGATGCAAATCAAAGGAAAAAAGCACAAGAAATCTGAAATAAATAATCAGATAAGCAAACGGACTAAAAAACGTGCAAAATACGCAGTAAAAAACTTGAAGCGTTGGATGGAAGTTTTCTACAGACGCTCTGGAAAACCTCTGGAGATCTCGAAAGTAGCTCCATTAAATTTGTCATGGTTTTCTACCTATTTGACGGTATTATAACGAAATTTGAGTCAAAACTAAAAATGGGCCATAATGGGTACCCCTTTGACTACAACCTGGATCAATTCTCATACTCAGTTTTGAATGTTGAATCTACCTTCAAACAGTTTGAAGAATGAAATAGACGAAAATTTGATATTTTTTGAAATAGAAGGATTTGGGAGAATTTTACAGCCCTCAAATTTTTCCCAAATTTTTTTCCTAGCACCTAACAAGATATAAAACGGCCAGAGTGCCTATACGAGAATAAAGAAAAACTTAACGATTTTTTTCTCTAAAAGTTGTCGTTCTTTATATACAGTGATGAACATAAAGTAAAAGAAGAGGTGATCGACTTCTATGTCTAGTGTAAAAGAAGATTGATGAAAAAAGTATATCAAAGATTTTTTTTTCTTGTTAAGTGTACAGACTAATAAACAGTTTTGTTTTAATAGACAACAGTCTAAATTTAATAGAAATTAAAATGATGGGAAATGAGAACTGATTTACAACAAAATATCATTGAAACTATTTAATAGAAATTAACAACAAACGGAAACTTTTTTAATTATAGTAAATCAAGATGAATGAACGATCTCTATATAGTAGTTCTAGTTGTATTGCTTCTTACTGTTGATATACAAATGATTTTAAGTTTGTTGACTCTCTTTTCCAAACAGTAGTTATCACTATAACTTGATCCGAGATTCAATATATGAATTATTAGAATTTTAACATTTCAATTATCTCGTTCAGAAATGAAAAACTTCAATATTTGACAATAAAATTTTTCTCTTAACGATCTAATTGTTAAAAATTTTCTCTATTTGAATTTATCTTTTATAAATGAATTAGTTCAGAATAATGACATACACTCACACAGGGGTACACGCTTTGCTGTTGAACCATGAAGTATATGCGTGTCTATTGCAATTGGTTTGTTTTTTTTCTACTCTATATTTTTCATATTCACCAATGAAAAATGTGCGATGTATAGCTGTTACTTGAAGTATCTTTTTTTTTCTTTTCTATATTCCGCTAAAAAATATGTCACCAACAGAAAAAGAAAATAAGAAAGAGAAAGAAAGAGAGAGAGAGAGAGAGAGAGAGGGAGAGAGAGAAAAAAATAATAATTAATGAAATTTGGTTACATTATTCTAAACATTCGTCATAATACTTTCGATCGAATCATCTATACATCATATATTTATTATTAATTGAATAAAAAGCCACAAGAGGAGAAGAAACGATATTCGATTTCCAGTTTTAATAATAACAACTTATATTCGTTCGTTATATAGACAAACAAAATTATGCATGACGATTTATCTCCACCGTACAAGAAACGTCGTACAGCTGTTGTTGGATTTACAATTGCAAGTATTCTAGGAAAATCTACAGAATTACAATCAACAATTATTAAAGATTATACGCAACGAAATAATGAACGTAAGAATGTTAATAATACTTCATTTCTATTATAAAATCTTCTCACTCAGTTACTTCTTTGACAAACGTTTAGTATCACTAGGAAAAATATTAGAGAATATTTATGACTATCGAAACTGGTGTATGTAAGAGATATGAGGCTATTCGACTTAACGAATCCGATCATTATAGATGAAAAAAAATCAGATATATCATTCAAAAAATTTATTAAATCTAATATATTTAATCATCCCCAGTCTATTAGTGTTCGTTTTCTTTCTTCGGTTGCTCAGAAAGAACAATTATAATTCAATGAAGTAAAAACCTTCTTAGGTTTTGCATCTGTAGTGTATTAACCTGTTATAAATAATTTATTAAAACAAGCTCTCTTGTTCAAATTAAAATAAGTGAAAGTATAATATACACGTCCAATTTCTTTTTCTCTTATAAATACGTTTAATAAACCTTATTGTTCTATTAAGTGGTTGTGTGTGTGTGTTATAATTTCTTCTTGTATTTTATTATCTTGGTAATACTACTTTAACTAAATGCCATCCATCTTTTGTACAATATTACTTTGCTCAAGTAGGTTACAGTAGAGATTGATTGGCTTTGACAAGTGGAGAGAGAATGAGAGAACGAATTATTAATATATGTATTCATTTTCTATTGTTAAAATTAGAATCTATAAGGTGTATTGGTGTTGATTACACAATTCTTTTTTATTGTTGTCATTTTAATTGACAGTATACAATCTATACAAGTTCACTTCAAAATTCTTGAATATCAGCAGGAATATGAATAATTTTTTCTATTTCGCTATTATATAGGCTACTTTAACACTTTTACCATATATACATATATTTTTATCAATTACCTCATTAACAGTCGTTGTCATCGTTTGAGTAAAAAGATCATAGAATAAACGCTTATGTCACAAATTATTTAAATAGGCGTTAATTCTAACAATTTAATCAAGTATAAAATGATGCAATCTGTTCGTAAATAAAGATAATTTTTAACACTAAGTGTTCAAAAAGAGTAAACATATTGAAATCGACGAAATGTACATTGAATACCTATTGAGCGTGGATATAATTCAACATCTGTTGTTAATTTGTTATTCTCATTTATTTTTAGTACATAATCATCTGAATGCCACGTCTGATGATTTGTTAGGAAGTGCTGGTGAAGAAGGATTATGTGGTGAAGATGGTACGAGTAGTAGTTCTTTATCGCCACCAAATACAACATCATTATCAAAATCGAATGATGAATTACATGGAAAAGAAACAACATCGTTATTAATTGAAAATAATGATGAGATATCGAATAATAATCTAAGTGATGAACGTCGACGAACGGATTCAGATTCATGTGGTGAAATAAGTTCCGATGAACGTCCGAGAAAAGTTAGACGTAGTCGAACAACATTTTCGACTTATCAATTACATCAACTTGAACGTTCATTTGAAAAAACACAATATCCCGGTATGTACACTTGTTGTTATTTTTTTAATTGTCAAAAACTAACAAGTTATTTCTTTTGAAGATGTATTTACAAGAGAAGATTTGGCGATGCGATTAGATCTTTCTGAAGCCCGAGTTCAGGCATGTATACTGTAAATCTTTTTCACATCCAGATATGACATAAACTTTCTTTATTTCTAGGTTTGGTTTCAAAATCGTCGAGCAAAATGGCGAAAACGTGAAAAAGCGATGGGACGTGAATCGCCTAATTTTATTGGTGAAGGTAGTTTTGAAGCATTTCGTCGTCAAATGTCAAATTATTTATCGAATGCGTTATTAGATCCGACACGTTTACACGCCACACCGTATCATCTGTTAAATCCATTACTGATGGGACATATTGATGAAAAAGTACTTTCTCGTTTACCTATACCAAATCCGATGATATCATGCGTTTATACGCCAAATGAAATGAAACAAATAAACTCTAATTCCTCTCCATCAGTCTCTATCTCTGGAACAATAACAGCTCTCTCGTCTTCGTCATCGTCTACGTCATTGAAAGAACAATTTAATATCGAACGTTTAGATCGCAAAGTTGTTGCAACTGTGTAACATATTGCTAAGTATGTACACTCACTTTTCTCTTCGCTTCTTGTTGTTGTTGTTGTATAAAATCAATTTTATTCTACCGTTGAGAGCTTGTTGATTGCTGTTTTTTAATTTTATTATTTTTTTGTCTTCCTTTTTACAGTGCTTGTACAAAAATTACAGTTTATTATTTTTAAGAAAAACCGAATTCGACTTTGTATTTGAGATGTTAAAGGTGGCTTTATGGCTAATAATATCACTTGAGAACTTTATAAAACGGTATCTACTAATTGATTCAACAAGAACAGTTAATTATCAAATTGATGAAGAAACGTTTTAAATTATTCGGTTTCTGATGAAATGAAGATTTATTTTTTAAACGTAATTTATTGTGAATATTGCAAATTTAATATCCTTTCTTAAAAAGACATGATAATTTTTGATAGTACGATTTTACAGGATAACACGTAATACATGTGCACAAATTATTAGTTCATTCTAATATGTAACCTGATTTCAAAAAGAAGAGAGAGTTCTCTATTTTACAGTAAGTACAAGAAAGATGTATAGTCCAAAATATCTATCCAACATTTTATCAATATCAGAAACTATTCTTAATAAACTTCTTTCATCTAAGAAGTGAGCGGACAGTTGGGAACGTTCCCTTCTGTGATAAAATCATTTTAAGTTCAATCGAACTCGAATTAATTCATTTTGATAGATACTCAAAACAGATGTAGACTAAATTTCATTTTTCACATATTAACATTGTATAATGACAAGTTGTTTTGTTGTTATAAGTACATATATTTCTTATTTTAATTCATTAAAATTACTGATGTTGAAGTTTTGTATATGTTACTGTTCAACAAAGGTAGGACGGGGCATATACATAAAGAAAGAAGAAGAAGCCTATAATTTTCAATGGATAAGAATTGAGTTACATTTTACACGATTGGCTGGCTTTTCTTCTAAGCGCCATAGGAAAAAAAAGAGAAAAAGATTGAAAATGAATGAGAATGTAACAAAGTTATTTTCTCGTCTTAAGAACATGACGATATAAGAGAATATTATTGTCTTTTTTTTATTATTCTGCTTAAATTATCCTATTCACATTATATCGATAGTAGTTGAGAGTGGAGGAGTCTCCTATTTTTTCAGATCTTAATAAGAGTTTTCTATTTTTAACTAGAGACATTCAGTAAATTTTATATTTGAGTCTACATATAGTTCTAAAATGACAATTCAAAGTTTTAGTTCAGATCGTGTGTTTAAATCATGAATCTAGATCTACTTCTAACTTGTTCATCTTTGTAAAAGTTAGAATAAACCATAGAAGAATCAATTGTCTCAAAAAGAGAAAGAAACAATTTAAAATAGAACTATCTTCATCTCACATTCATCTGATTTCATTGTCACAATTTCCAAAAACAATAGATTTTCTGTTTATTATCAAAATGAAAAGAGGAAAAGTGTAAGTTTGAACAATCAAGAAAGGTAGACATATTGATTGAGAAGAAATATCCGGAAATGTAATTGTATTTAAATTGTAGTCATTTTTAAATATCAAAAGAATTTTGTGACTATCATCAGTGTACTTCACCCTATTGATTTCCGTCTCGTGTTAATAAATATATTCTGAAAATAAACAAAAGATCGTACAACATTCATGCAGAATAAGTTGAAAAGAAATAAAATAAAAAAATAATAGTAATTAATATAAAAAACTTAAATTTCGATGAAAATATAATATTATAGCTATGCTTCGCTAATTTTTTATCAGTAAAATATGTTCGAAAGAATGTTTTAGCACATTTAAAATCTACAACTGTAATATTAGACTATGAACTCTATTTTATTGACAATAAACTATTCATTTGAACAAACGATTATTTGTATTCATCCAAAATTCTTTATTTGTCAGGAATTATTGAATTTATTCATCCAAAATTATTTTTGCATGTTTTCCTTAGATATATGTCTTAAAAATTCACAAATACAAAAGAAAAAAAACAAAAAAACTATGTTGAATTTTTTTTCACACTATATATATATATAAAGACTATAAATTTATAATTTTTTAAATAATATAATCTAATAATCCACTTCTGTTTTCTATGTAAGAAAAGACGACTAATCGTTTTTGCTTATGCTTCATTATCTTAATCATTCAATCACGCCACATATTTATATCTCACGAATGAACAAAATGAGAAAGAGGGAATAATTTATTTATATATACACAATTTGTACTAATTACAAGGCGCACAATACCACAACAAAAAATTTTAACGATTATATTTCATTCTGATAGTCAAAAAAAAATGGAAGTGAAATCGTGTTCGAAAAGTTAAACAGTTGGAAACATGATTCTCATAACGTGTAATTCTAACGTGTTTTTTTATGAGAAAGAAAGAGAAAAAGTAGTAGTAGTGATTTTTAAGATCATAAAATTTTAAAAATATGAATAAAAAAATGTTTTGATTGAAATATTTTAAAAATTTTGATTTATCGAGGTAACAAATATTTTTTTGACTTTTTTTTGTTTTGTTTTTTCATCATTTAAAAACCATCTCAGCTACTTTTGACTATTAACATAAAATCTCATTTTTATGATTATTATCATATGGCAAGAACAAAATATAGCATATCATTTATATATTGAAAGTTGATAATTTCAAATTTCTTGTTGTTAAACAAAAGAGAACACATTTATGTCTCTAATTTAATTAGGTGTTAGTTCTCAAATTGTTAATCTTTTAAATGCTTGTTATGTACTTCTACTCTTTATAATTGTTTTCAGTACTTAAAACATTCTCTTTTCTTTTATTATTCACCACTAAACACCTGCATAAGATAGAGAAATAGAAATTTATTGAAATTAAATAACGCAATCGCTCATAACACACACACACACACATATATATATATATATATATATAAATAAGACGGATTTAAAGAGTCAAATACAAAAGTGAAAGAAAATTGTGTACCTGTGTATTATAACAACAAGAGAGAGAAAGAGAGAGAGAGAAAAAAAAAGTTTAAAAAGCATAAAATTGGTTGAAGCACTTGAATTAATTGAGAAGAAATGTATACGCGATTTTTTTTCTTCTTCTCTACAAAAGAAAGTGGAAAGTTAGTTTCTTTCTTATTTTTTTTTTTTTTTTTTTATTTTGAATAGGGTGTATTAGTAACAGATAATTGGTTGTTGTTGTTCTTCTAAAATGTAATTTTATTCATACTTATTCTCAGCATCTATATTAATTGAATCGAGGACATACAAAGAAAGACTATAATAGTATGTTGATGAAGAAAACTTATACTTATTTATCAAATATTCTCGAATATCTAACTTTTTTTTTTCTTCTTCTTCTTCTTATTCTTTTCGTTATGTTTTTTATTTTATTTTTAAAAAACGATATTAGACTATATATATTATGTGACAGAAATACGTCATAGTTTTCTCTATGGCTATTAGTTGAGATGAAAACGGAAAACGAAAGAAATCGTCTAATAACATCCTTCAAAAGTATATTTATATTAATAATTTATTACAATTGTGTATATGACACTCTCAAGTGCAATAGAGAGAAGAGAGGAAAGGAAGGAAGAGAAATTGAAATAGAAGAGAAGTAATTTAAAGCATGATTACATCAAATTACAAGCATACGAAAAGGAAATAAATTAAAAAAAAAGAAAAAAGTAATGAGAATCATCAACGAGAAGGAATAAAAAGTTAATTTTTTTATCATTACTAGAAACAGAGTACAATATAAAAGGATACTGTTATATAGGGATAGATTAGAGGTTAATAAATAACATTTTTTACTATATCAAATATAAGAGATCCCTATCCGCACACACTCTCAACTGATCATCATTGATTCATAAAATTTGCCTCTATCTTTGAGAATATGTGTAATTTTTTTTTTAAATAATTTTAGAATGAGACATATCAATATCGAATTTTCTTTTTTTTTCTCTTTGTTTTTTCATTTCATTTCGTGTTGTACTTGAAATTGTTCATATCCGTTTCATATTCTTCTAATCATTTTTTTTTTCGCACTCCTATGTTGTATAATACATCTGCTTTTTCGTCCCCAATATCTATTTGACAATAAAATAGACCCAGTGGGCCTTATTTCAATTGCAATTTCCTGTTTAATATCTAAATATCTAATAAAAAAAAACTGCTTCTACTTCTCTCTGTCTGTCTGTCTATCTGTCTTTAAGGCAATACAACTCAATTGTGCATGAATACATCATTATGTACCCCACATATAATTTTGTGTTCTATATGATAAGGTGTGCCATACATGCTTCTAATTTTCTTCATTTCCTTTTCTCTCTTTTTTTTCTTCTTCTTCTCTGTTGAAAATATTTTAATTTGTTTGATTGTGCTTCATTAGAGTCTAATTAATATTGTATTCATTCAACAAATAATATAAAGGAAACGACATGTTAGTTAATATTGCAATACAACATAGAATAGAGTAGAATTCATACATATTTTCTTTCTAACATAAAATAAATGAAAGAGAAACCAAGTGAAAAATCTTTTGAATTAATTTCGATTATTGAACAACAACCAGAAAATATGAAATGAAATGAAAAAACAGTAATAGTATATATGTTCTACAAACGGAAATGTCAATGGCATATCATAAAAAAATTATGGAATTGAAATTTATCAATAGTAATCACAGTAAAAAATTATTGCAGTAAATCTACTAATTTATAGGAATTTCAAATAAATGGTTCATTAGATTTAACAATCAGGGATAAATGTATAATAATACGAAAATAGGCCTGTCAAAATCTTCTTTTTTTTTTTTTTGGTAATTTTTTTAATTCTTCTTGTTTTGAACTGTATACACTTTACACTAAATTGATTCTACTATAAGATAACGAAAACTCGAATAAATACATCGTAGTTTTCAAAACTATTTAAACGCGTCATCGATTATATTATATAGAAAAAGTGAATAACCAACAAGAAATAGAAATAACAGAAATATACATAATTTAAAACACTTAGAAAAAAGAAAACGTATAAAAGACAAATTACATTTAACATAGAATAACGAATAAAATGTAACGTTAAATTTACAACTAACGACAATGTGCCAATAATTATACGGTAAAAAAGAAATATGTAAAACCTTCATCTTTTATATAAACTACAATAGTTCAAATGTATTCGACAAATGCTTGTAAAATAAGTTGATCATTGAACGAATAATATAGAACAGAATTAAATAATGATAATGTATCAACATATATGTACAACACGAAGAAAATATATGATTATTGTTTATTTTTACATCATTTCAGTAGAAGAAAGAATATGCACTTGAAATAGAGTAGAATATCTTTACAAACCAAATTTAAGTTTGTGTTTAGTTAAATAGGGACTAAAAATCTAGCTAAATAATTAAATGAAATGTATGTAAATGATATAATTCATGAATATTGTTAATACATACTGTCCGTAGTCTTTTACTATAAACAGTACGTACATATTTGGATATATGCAATTATCAGCTAAAAATGAATGCAAACATGAAAAATTGAGTTGTCCATCTTGACAATCATTACTGAGTAAAGAAATCAGATTATCTGTTAAATCTGTTACTCATTAGAATTGAATACTGTGTTGAATAATAAAGAAAGTAAGAGTTGGTATTAGATATACTTTTGTAGCAATCATATTTCAATTCTATGAGTTAACTCATAGAATTTAAATTGAGATTTAACAACGTATCAGCTAAATACTAAAATGATCCCTATCTCATTACCGATATCATTCGAAGTTGTTCCTGATAATAATCAACATATGTTAGACACCAGGATATATAAGAATAGATATATGAAATATCTTCAATTATTTACATGAATTTGTTAACTCTATTTAAAAGCAAAAGGGTCACTATTCTATGTCCATATCTATGGGGAAATCTTAACAGTATTGATGGCGTGTACACCCGTCAATATTGTGAAACAAAATGTAGACATACGTGAACATTGTGAAGTGGTGTGCGAAAACTTGGGGTAAAAAATGACATCTGTGAATACTCACAGGTGAACATGAACTGTTCAAGAAACTTTTTCTCTTCCTAGTTTTGCATGTGATCGCGAAGTGAAAGTCGCAAAATGGTTTTTGAATACACATGAAAAGAAAATTCGTGCTTGTGAACACGTTTGAAATTATACTGAGTTCACGCGCGATAAAATGCGTTTTTGTGTTCTCTAGTACAAAAGACGATTTTATCAAAATTTATTATAAAAAGGCAGACTTTGACCATTTTTGCCTTCGTGTAGCAAAAGAAATGAAGCTGGTGAACTTTTCTGTTTGAATGTGATAGAAGACTTATTCTGCTTTAGGGTAAAACAAACTGGATCATAAAATTTTGGATTTTGACTGAGTTATACAATTTTTCCGAACTGTTCCAAAACTACAGTTTGATAAAATTCTAATCTGGTTGAGGTGTTTTCCAATGACATAATTCCCACTGATTCATTTTTCCAAAAACAGCTCTCAGCTTCTATTGTTTGAAGCATTCGTTGTACTCAATCTATTGAACGTTTGCTATGTGTTATCTTGTTTATTTTCTTTTTTGTGTGATCTGAATCTAAAGGTAGGCACTATATAACTCTCTATTCTGGTGTATAGCAAGTATACAAAACACTGTAACAACCCGGTTTTCACACATATGACGTCCCCTATGCATACAAAGATCGACGAACGAAATGTTTATTAGACCATCTGATTACAGGCTGCTAAGAGAGAACGATCTGAAGCAATACTGATTGATTGTAATGGATATTCATCCACATTCTCATTAGAATGAAATAAAGAAATAATATAAACAAAATTACCATTTCCAATGAACAAAAATTTTTTGATAAATTCCATAATCTAATATTGTCTTCATGATCTGTGGAGTATAATTCAGCCTTAATAGAAACAAATGAAGATAGAACAAGACACTGAAATACTTGATTCGAATGTATAATCGCTGAATTGATAGGACCGCCCTTCTTCATATTACATGTTCTTTGGCATTTTGTTGTTCTTTAAGAAGTACTGAAAGAGTCAGGATGATGTATTAAAACGTCATATCCCATATTTTTACAGTTCCATTTTCACTACCAGAAAACATCCGTCTAGAGTCTCTTTGAAATCCAATATTGATCACATTCGACAGATGGCCTTCAAAAAGGTTCATTGGATCGGATTTGGAACTAGAAATATTATATAATCTAACAGATGGATTTCCTAATACAAATAGTATACTCGACAAACTTTCATCAACTTTTACATGATAAACTTTCGAAATAGGCAATTCTAGTGAATCTTTTGTCTCCAGTTGGAATTTTAGTCCGGATCATTGAAAAATGTGACTCGAACTCGCCCTTCTGTTGGTCTACACGGTTAAAAATAAAAAGATTATTCAAAAAATATGGAGATCAATTATTTCTGTTTTATCAGTTACTAGTTGATACATATGTTAATAGAGCAATAGTATGATCAAAGTCATTACTGTTACTGTACAAATTAAAAAACATGAAAAAATTAGGATAATTGTTCTATTAATTAAGATGAGAATATAAACTAATGCTGAAAATTTTTATATTAATTTCTTTTAATTAAATTTATTGTCCTCTCTACATCGAAAAAGATTTTTTAACACGTATTACGTTTTTTAAGCCTGTTAATCGATAAATAACTCATTTATCAGAATTACTATTTTCATTATAATAATTTCACTAAAAATAATCTTTTTTCTCTAAATAAGATTGAAGCATAATTTCCACTAATATTTTTCCTTATTCTACAGATCAATCCGTTATTGTACATTTTTAATCATTTCTTTAAATTTTTGATTATCAATATGAACATGTTTTTCTTTTTAATCAATCATAATAGAACATAAAAAATCTTGCCTATTCGTATAACAATTTCAAAAGTAAAATCTATAAGTTCTCGCTCTATGCTAAAAAAATATTGGATTTTAACGGAGACAAAATAAAGTTTACTTGTGTTCATCTTGTTTTTTTTTGTTTTTAATTAAAAATAAATTATCGAGTAAGAAAATAGAAATAAATAGTTTTGATTATAAATACAAAATCTATACAAAGTACCCATAAACAAACTGTTATATACTGTTTTCTCAAAAAGAAAAACCGGTTTTATTACGGATGCGTAGATGAATAAGCAAAATACTGTAAAAGTTTAAGAAAAAATGAAACGAAAAAAAACATTGCAACTGAGATTGAAATCCAAAAAAAATAGAAAAACATATTAATATTTTTGGTCAGATTGTCGACGATTTTTATAAAATGTTATAGCAGTAGGTGAAGGTTGTTGGGTAGATACAGATTGAGCACGATGATTTTGTAAATTAATAAAAGCTGGATGGTGAATAGCTGTGGCCGGTGGTTGAGAAGATTGATGTAATGGATATGAATGATGATAAGAATTAATGTATTGATTGTGTACATGCGGATATGTATGAGCTTGTGATTGATGAGATGTTGGTGAAACAACATAAGGTGTTTTAGTGGTCGTCGTTGGTGAAGGTGGTGAGGGTGAACGTCGAGAAAAAAATAGAGTATCATCAGTTGTCGAATTTGACGGTATAATAACTGAAGATGAAACTGTTGCTTTTGCTGCTGGATTTAGCGGTGGACCACTATAGACAGATATGTACAGCGGTGAGAAATGTTTATTTTTCAGATTTGTACGTATTGATGATGAAGATGATGGAGTAGAGGACATTTTACGCATAGGTGGCTGTATTGGTAATAGATTTGGTGGAATGTATGGCGCATTCGTCCACAAAGGAGAATTTGGCTCTGATGAACCACAACTGTTATTACTTAAACTAGCAGCTGAATAAAAATATAGTTCATCGGGTGATGATGCATAAATATTATTATTATCAATATTTGATGATGAAGAGGAAACATTGGATATTTGTCCTGGGTGATTGAACATGAAGCCTCCAGAAGATTGTAATATTTTATTATCCTTCCAGGATGGTGAGGTTTCAGTAGTGGATTCGCCAAGATGCTAAATAAAGACAAATACACATATTTGAAGCACTATCAATAGAACGAATGAATTTGTTACCTCTTGGGAACGACTTATGTCGAATAAACTTTGATGTTGTTGATCTGTAGAAGAATCGGAATCCGATAAACGTGGTGCTGCATTTAACGGTATAATATCATCGAAATCACTTGGCGAATCGCTACTACGTTTTGATTTACTTCGATCAGGTGGTGTGATCTGACCTGCAAACGATATAACCGATGCAGCTGAGGATGAACGATTCTGTCGACTTAATAAGGACTTCACAGCATCATTGTCGTCAAGACCATCATCGCTGACTCTCTAAAAAAGAAATATTTTCATCTATAAACATTTATTTAAGAACATGGAAAAAACTTTCATTTACTTTATCTCTCGAGTGTTCGGTATCTGATAAACTATTATTTCTTTCGGATTGTTTTGTGTTTGAAGAAGTCGGTATTTTTGTCCAATTAAACTTTGGTGAATCACGTACGGATGTTGAATCTGACTCATTTTCACTATCACCACTGATTTGGCCGTGAATTATAGTATTATTACCAGCACTCGTTGGTGTTAATAATGGAGAACCTTCTCGTGATTGCGATGCAGAATTTAATGGTGAAGATTGAATAAATCCTTTATTAAAACCGCCAATTTTTGTATCATCTATATTAAAATTAATTGCTGCAAGACCCATTTTATTCATCCATTTTGCCATTTCATCACGTGAAGAACAATAAAAATATTCTTTATATTTGTTTTCATCGGTAATTCGAAATGCACTTAAAGAAGAAAAACTCATCTCATATATAGAGTAATGAATAGAGCTAAAACGTCTATATACTATTTCTTTTTTTCTGGAGCTGGAGAGACATTTTTTCCCTCTAATTTGATTTCCATATCTTGATTGTTGTCCTATTTAAAAATAAAACAATTAAATTATTTCTCTATGTTGAAAACTACACGAAACCTTTTGATAGTTTACAATTTCTCAAAGTTTTACACAAATTTTCTGTTTTGCTTAATCGAATATTCGCTTTCTTCCATGGATAGAGGATGGTTTCTGCAAGAAAATAGCCTTATATATTTTTGAGAAGATAAGGACTAGAACTGGTCGAAAAACGGTTAGTTACTATTTTACAGGGATGGGCGAGTCCGAGTCAAAACTTGGACTCGAGTCGACTCGAGTCGTATTTTGTTCAAGACTCGGACTCGACTCAGACCCGAAAACTGAGCAACATTGACTCGCCTGTGTGACTTGAGTCATTCATCTAAAAAGATTTTCATTTGCTCTTATAAAAAATTTACAATTTGTAAGATTAAATTATCACTTCTTAATAACCTTTATCCTAATGCATTAGAACAATTTTTTCAACAGATTTTCTGCCTATGTATTCATATGGTCGTGAACATCAAAATAAACAGAAAACGAAATACTCAAAAAAATAATTTGACTCGACTCGGAAACACCGGTGACTCGATTCCACTCGACTAGAAATTATTTCAAAATGACTTGAACTCGACTCGAAAAATGGCTTGACTAGCCCATCCCTGCTATTTTATACGTGAAAAAGTATATTTTAATTAATTTCTCGATAATAATATGTTTTTCTCTGTGTAAACCATTCTTAATGCGTTGATAGAACTGTATACATTTTACTATATTCAATTAGAATGACAAGCATGGGATGCAAATAGTTATAGATAATATTTAACGAATAATTCTATGAATATATTGTTTTAAAAAGTGTATTATAGATCAGTTAAAGCGCGTTCAATTGCGCATTTTTTCATGTATAAGATTCTACTAACAACATTGAACTCGTAGAGAAAAATGAATAAGTATGATCGAATCGGCTTTTTGAACCGATGCTCAGAGACGATTAAAAATTTCCAGATGTGACAGTCCACAACTTTTGAAACGCAGAGATATTAAAAACTAAAACTAATTAATAATTTCTCAATCAGTTCCAGTCCTTATCTTCTGAAAAATATATAGGGTCATTTTCTTGTAAAAACTATCCTCCATTCTGTTCTTCCTGTCCGGTAATATAGAAACTATTCGCAAATCACTCGGTCATGCTGTGGAACTAGTAATGTTTTAGGACGAATACGAGTATGAGTATAAAAGAAATTTTACTCGAGTATCACAGATATTTCAAAGAAAACGAAAACGCTTAAAGCAACGAAGAGATTTAAGAGATTTGAACAATTGTTTCTAACTCTATTTTTCCTTTGTACCATCAATTTATAAAAGAAATTCTATATCATTTGAGAAATGTATTAGGAACTTCATCAAATTCAAAAGAATCCAAGTACTCGAGCACTTGAAAAGTAATCACTAAAAAAAGGTCTCAAGTACGAGTATGGCAAGCCCTGTACTCGATTACGAGTAATATTCGTACTCGCTCATCTCTAATACCAACGACTCATAACAAAATTTTACGCAGGGAATGATCATTGTAGCCTAAGTACTTTGCAACCGAAGAAGGTTGATTAAAACATACAATGAAAACTTTTATTAACTTACGTCTTTTGATTTATAAATAAATAATATGCCACCTTTCAATACACACCAATAAAGTCGCCATTGTAATAATGATAATGTTCCTTTCGGTAAATAACGATACAAAAAGCCTTCACAATCACCTTTTCCTAAATCTTTACACGATATTTTACGATACGATGCTAAAATACAATAAAAACAAGAAATATATCATTCTGTATAAATTTGAGTTATCCTAAAGCAATTTGAAAAACAAAAATAAAAAAACATCCCATAGTGCACGATACAGCTAATTACCCAAAAGAAATAATAAAAAAATGACTTAGGCTACAGGCATTTTTTGTATGCCCCTCATTACCTGTTTCTCTTAGTCTACCAATCAAACGGCGGCCAGAACGCCGCTAGAGCAAAAGATCAGCAAAATACAAGATAAAACAGACTTTTATATTAAAACTACATTACAGAGCCAAATACTTACGCATACGTTTTGGACGACGACGTTCAAATGAATTCTGAAAAGAAAAAGCATGTTGATCATATTTTTAATAAGGTTTCTAGTAACATACTTTACGACTTTCGCTATGAATGAGAGGAGGCTTATTAGCCACAATTCCATTGTTCAAAATAGTGCCATTTTCAAGTTTTAACTCATTTCTGAACCTAATGACGCGAAATATGAGAATATACTAGAGATATCTTCTATTTTCCACAAAACAATACATACGTTTTGGTGTGCTCCTCGCTATTTTGCTGCTTGCCTCGAACTTTTCCTGGTTGCTCATTCTAAAACAAAAAGAATAGAAATAAGATTAATACTATTCGAATTTCTGTAGTGATTTTGCTTGCTTTGAATATATTTGATAGTGAAGATCTTGATAAACTATGTTGACTATTATTTGCTGTATTTGTTGATGGTAAATTTGTTTGGCTAATACTTTTATTAACGACTCCATGCTTCTGTAGAGATTTGGGATTTTCATTCGTTTTGTTTTCTTGTAAAGATGATGTGGATGGTGATGGAGGAATTCTAACTAATGAGTTCTCATTTATGTCATGTTTATAAGTAGAATCAATGCGTTTGACATTAACTAACTGAGGATGATCTTTTGAATAATCATCCATTCCTGGCAAAACATTTTTAGTATCTTGTTTTGGACGAAATAATGTTGAAATATAACTTTCTAAACCCTGGAATAAGTATGATATAAAATATACATGTCATGTTATAGACAAATTAAACTATCGGGAAAGAGAAATATTTCTTTGATGACATTGTATAAATTTGAAAAATGACAATATTATGTATTATACATCGTCATATAAGAAAATCAAAATTTGTTCAAGTATGGATATAAAAGTGCGTCACTAAACATACTGATGGTTTGTATATCCCAGACTATCAAGTGCTATATTATGAGCAACTTAATATGTTTTCAATCTTTTTTCTGTAGAAAAAATATGTACACTAACCGTTTTTCTTTGACTTTTCGGCGTTGAATTTGGCGATGAATTACTTCCAGAGTGCGGTTGAGATTCTACTTTTTTTCTCTGCAAATTCAACGGTGATTTAGAACCATTGATAGTGGTAGATATAGCTGATGATGAAGATATAGAAGGTTCAATTCTTTCAACACCATTTGTTTCTGTTAAATCTGGCAACGATAAATGTGCATCTCGTTTACATTGAGACGTTCGTTTACTTTGATAAAGTGTTTCATCATCACTTTCAACTTCAATCTCGCTGAAAAAAAGAGAATAATTATAAAATGGAAAAAGATATAAAAATTTTACGGTAGACAATGCAATATGACAAGAAAAGAGACTGACTCTTATTCTGAAGCATCAGAGATGGGTGAGTACACGGATTTCTGAGTACGAGTATTTTCTGAAGTCTTTTTTTCTCCTGAAGAAGTCGGTAAATCCGAAAAAATTTCCGAATAAATCAATTTTTTGATACGCAAATAGTAAAAAAAAGATCACCAGTTTTTCGGGAAGTACTCGAGTATCGAGGAATTTTGTACTCGTACTCACCCATCTCTGTGAAGCATAATTTACAATATCTAGAAACAACTATTCGCTTTATTTGCTCTCATCGAACAGTATCGAATTTAAGAAAAAAACTATACAAATACACATATTACATGGCGATTCATATGCTAGGAACGAAACAACATAGTTATTGTTACCTGTTCTTCCTCATCACTGCAATATAGATGAGAAAATTTTTATAAATTATTCAGATCTTCAAATTAAACTAAGAAAACTTTATACCCTTCTTGTTCAAGTAACATTGTACGTTGATCTTGTTCTTGTTGTTTTAATTTTTCTAAAACACCACGAGCACGTGTTTTTCTCGGCCCTGGAGGCCACTCAGCCATGCGTTTCGCATAAACTTCATCATCATTATGTCTGGGCATCTTTTTAACTAATAAGCATATTTCATTTGTTTGAGATTGTAAAAGTTCGAGAAAATGTTCAGCATCCCATCCAAGCTATAAGAAAAAAATTAGAAAGGAATCAAAATCGTTTATAGATACAAAAAAGGGTTCTTTTTACTTACAACAACTTGATTATTAATTTCAATTATTTCATCGCCAATGTTAATGGCATTAAAACCAGTACCCATATATCCCATCGACTAAAATGAAAAAATACAAATTTTTCGTAAGAGACGAAATGTATTTTACTAATTAATAATCATAAATAGAAAAGAATAATAATGAGTAGATATGTATTCTATTTACTTCTGTTTGTATACTTGATATTACATGCGTATAGTCAGGCATCGTCGCATATTCAATATTCTAAATGAAACAAAAAAAAAACATAAATATTAAAGTATTATTTGATAACATTTTCTTTTTTTTTACCATATCATCTTTAATTGGTCTTCTCAAATTAACACGTGTTAAATAACAATCAGACGAAATTAACGAATCTTTGTTCTGGCGAATTCGCGCGATGACACAAATTCTTAACTCATCAATCTACACAAAGATTAAACACAAATGTTCGTTAGTATAACGCTTGAACATACACAATAGTCACCTCAGAAATAAGTTTTGTTTTAGACATATTGATTGTATCAATTGTTCGCAAATTACGTAATAGAAGACGTATTTGAACAAGTGATTTGATGATTTTACGACGCAATTCAATATATTCAGAACTCTCAATAAATGGCAATCTAAGTCACAAAAAGTCTGTTCATAGCTTTTGTTTTAAAGAATAGAGAGTGAGAATATTAACCTTCCTAACCAATGGCATGCTTTGATAATAGCATCTGACAATGAACTGATTGCAGCATAAAATTCTGGCGATTGCATAACAATACTATTGTTGTTGTTGTTGTTGTTGTTGTTATTATTGTTATTAGTCGACGGTGGTGACATATCGTTGTATCTTTTCAACATATTGAAACATATTGTGGCAGAGCTATGAATGCGCATGAATAATAGGGCTAATGTTTCACTACCCAAACGATTAGCCTAGAGAAAAAAGAATTAAAGCTAATATTAACGTATACTGGATCAAAACAGAAATTAAACAAACCAATGTTGTCAATAAATCAATTGATTGTAATAAAATCATTTGTTGATCAATCTGATTAATACCTATTCTTATGAGATCATCACGCGTGAGTACCGTCAATGCTTGTCCGTCAATTTTATTTTCAATGAATATTTGATCGGTACCACGATTAACACCGGCCAAACCTTAAATACAAACAAATCATTAATTTCTGAATATTACTACAAAGTTATAAACTAACCGGCAATCCATTTAGCCACCTCATTTCGCTCCCAACGATTAACCATCGTTGAACGTTCACGAGTAAGCTTGATTGATCCATGATTATAATGAACAGACTGCATCCTTATATGACAAAGAGAACAAAACTATTTCATATCTAAAATAATAAAGATTATCAAAAGAAAGACAACTAAAAACGTTGCGAGGATAAATCTAAAATAATTTAATCTCGAACAAAAAAATATATCTTAACAATTGACAGATGCTAGATTCATCTATTCAAAACGAAATGACTTTTGAAAGACTGTTAGACTATTTCAAACACGCTAAAATTACTATAAGACTGATAGATTAACCTTCAGATAAACATATCACCAATAAAAAAAAATTAAAGTTTGTTTAGAGTTAAAGAAAAGTGCTTTTTCGTCTTCAGCACACTTGATAACCTCGAAAATTTTCTAGTTTTAGCGAGGGGTACCGTCAAAAAGTTAAGAAAAATTTTCAAACAAATTGACGCAGAAAAATCCTCATGATAAAATTAAACAATTATAAAAATTTTTCTTAACTTTTTGGCGGTACCCCTCGCTAAGAATAGAAAATTTTCCAGGTTATCAAGCGTGCTGAATACGAAAAAGCACTTTGCTTTAACTCTAAATGAACTTTAATTTTTTGCCGGTGATATGTCTGTTGGGATAGAAGGATCATAAAAAGATTTTCTCTAGCAACTGAATGCTCAGTTGAAATCTTTTCATCTCAAACATCTAATAGACAGTTAGTATATGGAGATGCGAACGACACTTAGATTTCAGAGTTTCTAATATTAGATTATAGTTGCGATTTATAACCTTCTTAAAAACCGAGATACATGTACATATAGAATTTAACAGTTCATGAGCTATTGTTCCACTCTTCTTCTGAGATTTTCCTGTTTAGAAGATCTAACACCTATATGTAACTACTCGAAAATTAAGATAGTCCATGAAACATGGTAATAGCCAAATAACCAATAAATAGCCACAAAACTGCATAATATAGTAAGAAGTTTCTCAGATACCACTAATGGTGCCTTACAGCCAATCACAGCCACAAATAGTATGTTCATTTAAATGTGGGTCAGGGCGCACTACCTTAAAAGCTTGACAAAATACTAACGGTTCAAGCCTAACTTTCATGCATAACAGGCCGTGACCTCCAACGTCAAATTTAATGAAGAACCATTTCGTCGACTTTATTTATGAATCAAACGTTATGATAACTGCGTGATCGACGACTGGCATAAATACTCTCTCTTTTTATATAGTTCAAGCATCGAGGGAGAGTAGAATCATAACGTTGGCGTCGCCATTGATAAAAAGCTTGGACTAGATATGTTTTGATATGTTGCTAGCGAGTCTCATTTGTTGAACGATAAACATTTTTTTAAGATGGCTGAAAACATGATATATTTCGAATTTAATTTGTATAACATTTTGTTTATGATTTTGCCTTAAAGATCTTTAACTAATTAAGATATTTTTAATTAAATAGTATGTTTGTTTTTGTTGGCAGAAAATTGCTATTGGGACGAGAACGCCAAGGGCAAAAGCATAGACATGGGCAAAAAGAAGGTAGCCTGGAGATCTCTAAATTGCCCTCAATTTATACTGTAATCGATTAGTAACGTGTCCGAATGACAATAGAGTATTAAGCAAATATTATTAATATTTACTGATACACAAAGGTATTCCATACTACATTGGCTAATTTCGTAGTTAACGTATCCTGACAAGCTAAAAACGCAGTAACAAGATATCGTCAAGATCTAACATTTTATCCCTAAGAAATTGTTAAAATATCATAGTATCATGTTTTGTTTCAATGTTGAGTGATTTCATTGAATTCAATTTAGTACTTTTTTGACCTATCTTAATAGCTAAATTTCTCAATTATGTTCGGATTTACGTGAAGAGAAACATCCGATAATATGTTTAAACAATAATTATGTTTCGGACTCGAAAACATGATAAACATCTGTCCTAAGCATGAATCCATCAAAGTACGCATCTCTGCAAAGCTTGCATGAAAAATAGATGAATATCAGTAAGTGTCATTGTTTTTATCCTTTCTGTGCATGTACATCATTACAACGTTAAAAATCTGTGTTCCATCCAGGACAACATAATTTTCCAATAAAACATTTTCAAAAATACGTATTTTGACTATTCCTTCTACTGAGTGGTCCATTTCAATAGCGAGTGAGCACGGATCAACAATGTGCTGTATATTTTTTCATATGTTTTACACAACTACAACTGAGTCATTAGATGTATTAAACAAAATGAACAACTGAAACATCGACATTGACGTTGTTTTAATTTACAAGTTCAATGTATAATCTATACTATAATATAAAGTGTTTGTTTGTCTCTTTGATTGTTATGCTATATAAACCCACATGCTTGATCCCAGAGCAACCAAATTTTGCATGGGATCCACATTCATCAAGACTATGTGCAACCCCAAAATCTCCACCCACAGAGATAACTCGGGCAACGCCGGGTAAATTTTCTAGCGATCTATAAATATGCTTTGATACTGAATTTGCAGATAGATATGCTTCAAAACAATATTTTGACTATATGACGTTTTCTTCCAATTTCGTCTCTGCTGTTGTGTTAAATGAATTGTCACACTAGGTCTAACGTAGTTAGGTGTACCATATCAGACATGCTCTGAGCATTGCGATGAGACAGTAGTCTCGATTTGTTTGCTATCTTTTTTTCTTCAATAAAGTTTATGAAAAATTTTGAAACTGCCACTTAGTTACACAACTTATTCTCATTAAATACATATCTGCTCAGAAACTGAAGCGTCAGAACATTAAACATCGTAGCACTTCTGAAATTCGAGCACAAAATTGCTCTTCTCTCCGCCCAACATTGGCAGGCCCTTTTTCTCGCAATATAATGAGTTCAAGAAAAGGCAGTGGATAACTGCGTAAAAAATGGTCACGTGCAACAGTAAGTCAGGAGCTAACGTTAGTCACGTGTTAAAGACTTCTTTAGTTTGGGGTATCCGACAGGTTATAAGCCCCTATGGATTGATACTTGTTTTTTTTCCATTTCTTTCTGTTCTAGCCTTGGAATGGGAAAAAACAAGATGTCTCTTTTATGATGCCGTAGATATACAGCAGTAAACGTACTCTAGTTGGCATTAAATCAACGAACCGTCGCATAAACGACAGCAGGTTCTTTTGTGTGTTTATCACTTTGTACATTTCTTTATGATGCGGTGAAGACATTATATGAATCATTATGTTTTGATGAGATGGTCCATAAAAATTAGAATGTTGATATCTCACGATAATGGGAAAAATCATTATCTAGACCCAAATTCTTTAATATCTTGACCTACTCCATATTTCTTTTTCAGAATAAAAAAACTAACAAATTAAATGGGTTGAGCTATAACTTAGTTTAAAATTTCTTTGTATTGTGGATTACTTTGTTAGTTTGATTACTTTCATTGATGACATAAGATCAATAGCATCTATGTAAACAGTTCTATTTTCGATAGTAATGTTTCCTTATGTACAGGCCCGAAAATTATTTTATATGTGTGATGTAAACACATGATATGAGTAAAATTTTCTATTTTTGACAATCTCTTTTTCATTTGTTCCCTGTCACTTGTCAATTTTGCTAAAGATAAGCTGCGTGTTTCAAAAAACGTGTTTTATCATCACTTTCAGAGTTATCTGAGATGAAATAACAATGATGTAGATGAGATTATAGGATTATAGATATAGATTAAAATCGATCCATATATTTTCTCGTTTTTCTTTAAATATCTATTTATATTGGATATTTATCCTATATAGGTAAATCCAACTTTTAAATGTTTATTTACCACAATCCATCGTATAAACGTCTATGAAGATTCTATAACAATTTTTTCCCTAGCTTAATCTGAACAAATAGCATCTGACTACAATTTTGAAGGTTTTTCAAGTAATATTTTTTATACAAAAAAGAAAACTGTCGTTCAACTCTACAAGCAAGTGGTTGTCTTAAAAGGATGGAACGTTTTCATAAAACTTTTCATATTTTGAAAAATGAAAGTTGATATAAAGTTCTTTTTTGTTTTTAAGTAAGCTCAAGATAATATTTCACAAGAATATTCGAATTTGAAGTGGGTGACGAAGAGAAGTTGCAGATTGTTAACAAGTGTATAACGTGTACAAGTTGGATCTAATTCTGAGTTTACGAAAAAAAACATGAATAAATAGTGATCTATAAGTACATGAAGAATAAAAGATACTGATAGTCAACAAATGTTTCCAACAGTGTTATTTTTATCTTGGACAGTCAAAACTAAAAACACATGCATGTGCATATATAGTGTAATATGCATTTCTCCTATTTTTTTAATTTTCTATGTATAAACGCGAAACAGATCTATTTATAATGATTCTATTTCTATGTAGTTGTGTACGTTTGTTATATATTCTTAATCGCGTAAATTTCAACTTTTTGAGAATAAAGCAATTAAACTATTTTCTGTGCTATATACAATAACACAAACCATCGAATCGAATAAGATAGATTTCAAAGGGAGAAGAATTTCTAAAAGTGTACAACTCGTCTAACTGATGTAATACTTGAAATAGTCTTATGCGAAAAGACATAAAAGAAAGAACGACTTTTACATTTTAACATTGATATAAAGTCATTCTAGACTAGTCTATTTATGTTGTCGCGAAGAATGTATTGAAATTTTCTCATAGATTGGATTACTTCAATAAAGGTTTTTTCTTGACTTATGTTTAGTACTAAACATCCAAATTTGTTTCAGATATAGAGTTGAAACTGGTAAACCTAAATAAATTTTGTCTTTCACATTTTAGATAATTAGATAGAATATCATCATTTTTACCATGGCTTTTCCACGAGTTTTTCCATTTATTGGTGCAATCGTTGGTGAGTTAAGTCTTTTTTATACAATTGCACTAGATAATCCTAATTGTATTATGTTTGAATTTTTTAGCTATTGCAGCTGTTGGTCTTACGATTATTGGTGTCTCAACAGATTATTGGTTTTCAACGACAATTTTTCATTCTGGTAAATGAGTTTATTTTCTCCTCACAAAAGCTTGTTCTTGATCTGAGTTCTTTTAGGATTATGGAGACACTGCACCAGCGATACCAATACTATTTGTAGTGAATTAAAAGCGCCACAATCGTCGGAAATGGCAATCAGTGCTTTAGTTGCAATGGGTAAATGCTGTTGTTTGTTGCTAAAGGAGGCACTTTACTGTTACTATTTTACTACTGTACCGAGTAACAATAATGGTTATTATGATACCCTCCCGCTACCACTAACGAGTAACGATTTTTACTTTAATCCGTTATCGTTATTGTTAACAGTAGAGTGCCACTCCTACTCGGCGTATTTTCTAATTTTTGTTGTTGTTTATTACAGCTGTTGCTGCCTTATTAGCAATTATCTCAGGAGTTTTATACAATAAAACCGATGGTAGCAATAATGTTGCTCGTTTATGTGGCTCATTGTCAGTTATTCTTCTCTTCTCAAGTGGTATTTTGATTGCAGCAAGTTTAATGAGATATTTTTCAGTCCATGTGGAAACTGGTTATTCATTTACATTAATGACAATTGCACAATTTTTATCGTTCATGGCTGCTATATTGATTGCACATTGGATGGTAAGCTAAATTCGATGCATTTGTAAGAACGATGTCTTAATCATATTACTTTTATTTAGGGACATGCTTATACCCATGTTTTGTAAACAGCCAGACAAGTCTATGACAGTTGTACAACTTTATCGAACATTAATTTTCGTATTTATCATACATCTAGTCTATTCAACATAGGTTTTTCTTTTCTTTTCTTCTCTTATTTTAAACAAAAGAATGTTTTGCTTCTTTCAATTTATCGTCGCTTGTTAATTAAACAACTAAGAAAGCGTTTTTTTTAAATTTTATTGAATCTCATTTCACGTTTAAAGTTTTTCCTTTTTTTGCTTTTTATTATAAAACTGTGATCATGTAATAAAACGAAAAACACTACATAGATACATCTTTTAGAGTTAAGTCATACCTAAGACTGGTATTAGACAGTACTATAACATTTTAGGTTTGATCAATGACATTATGATATGCTAACAGCGATTGTTTTTGTATTTTAAGTGATTTTTCATAGTTTCACAAAGTTTCAGTATATTTTGATTTATCATGGTGAATAAAACAGATCTATAGACAGGTTTCAATTAGATATGAGCGGGACCGTCCCGATCTCGGTTTCAGTTCTAGTCCCGACGCGATCAGAAAAGTTTTTTTACCGGGACCGAAACTACAAACTTATTTTCGGGACATTAGAACATTTCTTTTGACAGTCGCATAAAATTAGCTAAAACTTGACCTGTTTTAGAGCATTCGCTCTCCGAGAGCATCAGCAAAAGCTCGCAAAAGAAAAAATTTCTTATATGTAATCATCCACACATTGAAGTTTATAAAAAACACTATATTATTAAAAACTGATATAGACAGGTTTATGCAAGATCAAGACGAGCATATGGAATTATTTTCCTGTTTTGCAGGGTTTCAGCATGGTTTTAACGGAGAAATCTAACTTGCTGTATAAGTTAAATCAACATCATCGTATAATATCGTTGTCTCACGTTAATCATGAGAATCAACTGTTTTTAAGCGCAGACTAAAGCTCTAGATTAATTCAGACTTGGCAGGTTGTCATTTTCTTTGTTATAAAATAAAACATTATCAATCCGTTAGGAGATACTACCGCTATTAGAATTACAAGGACTTGAAGATTATCGCCCCTATCACAAGAATCTAGCTTATAATAGCGCATCAGAATATTTGGATCATGATCGTTTAATTCATTTAACAATTGTTGATATGTTTTAGCTCTATTAGATTCGTACAGAACAATTTTTTAAATAAAATAGTTTCCTCTTCTATATCATTAGTTAACGGTTTTATTCAAATTATAAAATCAGTAATTGAACGACTTGATGTAACTCTCAGATCTCAAGATTACGACAGCATTTCTTAGATCTGCCAACTGTTGAGAAATTCATTCTCTCAGCATTCTTGACAAGAAATTTCTAGGAAAATGCAGTTTAACCTCTTCAGAAAAGTGGTTCTGCCAACGACGGATTATAAAACTATATGTAGAATTGATAATTAATTTCAAAAAATATATTTCCATCAAAAACGATTCCAATGAGCTTGGGGATATGATCATGGCGATACATTCTAGAGACGAGAAAAGAAGAGCTCAGTATCAAAAGGATTTCCATCTATCGGATCTGACCACTAGAGTCCTGTCGGACAGTCCCGAATCCTGTCCTGCGGAACAGACAAAATAATTTTACTGGCTTGGGCTCACGGGCTCAGAGCAAGAAAAAAAATTCACGGGGTCGAGATAAGTCGCAGAAAAATGTTGTCCCGTAAGTTTGTCTTTTAATTATAATTATGCTGCAACTTCAAATGTTTAAGTCTTGTAATACTATCAAATCAAAACCGTAATTTCATAATAACTAATAAAAATTAACCTGAAGAGGTGAAATAGTCTGGATTTAAATTATAGAATCTAAAACTTGATTTACAGTTCTTTCCTTTCGATTCTGAGGTGGTGAGTGGATGTAAAACATTCTTTTATACAGTAACTTTTAAGTTTAGAATCAAATAAATTAGACTTAAATTTTGTCATGCGGATTTTGCAAAAATATGTTTGAGATTTTAAGCGTCTCTTAATAGTTACGGTTTATATCAACAAAAAATTTTTCAGAAACTTATGAGACGGCGTGATCATGAAAAATTCGCATTCGGAGCGAATTGAATTATTCTTTACTAACCCAGTATGCAACGTGTCTTCATACTGGCTATAGACTTACAATGTTTATCTTTTCTCTCACTAGTTCAGATCACCATCCAGGTCAGATAACGGTCGGTTGCGAATTCTCTCTTATTTTCTGACTAGTTCAGGTCACGATATATGTCAGGTAAGGATCGCGACTCACTCTCCTGGCACCCCGTTACACACGTCCACTTCGACACGTCCAAGTATATGTTTAGAAAGATACGGATTCATTGAATAAACTCTTCGAAAATAGCTGACGTAGAAAGCACATCAGAAATACATAAATAAAAAATTCAGGGACTGTTTGAATAAGTTACATCTAAATAAAAATCATAATAAGATATCTGTATAGTGACCTGAACTAGTCAGAAAATAAGAGAGAATTCGCAATCGATCGTTACCTGACCTACATATTGACGTAAACTCGTCAGAAAATAATAAAGAATTCGCAAACGCATCATATACACCAATATGCATTATTACCATTTATTGCATACCGAATGAATTCTCAGCGAATGCGAATTCATTTTTTAGAAGATCAAATTCTTGTTGAATGTGTATTTTCCAAGTTATGGGGACGGGACAAAAAAGCCCGTAAGCTTTTTTCACGAAACAGACGGGTTCGGGACAACATTATTTGCTCACGGGCTCAGGCTTACGGGCTCGAAACAACATAAAAGTTTGTCCCGCAGGAATTTATACAACACATCAATCTTATTTTTCTTATAACAGAAAAGTTACATAAGCAAACTTCTATTGCAGATTCCATACTGGTATTGAAAACTTCCTGTTGATTTATGTGAGAACTTGAATCGATGGGACTAGAAATGCAAAAGCTCAAGTTCGAGTCTTTCGAAAAAATCTTCAGTCCGAGTCCACCGAAAAATTTAAGACCTGTAACCAGTAGAGTCCTGCAGAACAAAGTTTTTTGTTGTCCCAAGCCCCTAAAGTTATTTTTTGTCTGTCCCACGGGACGGGATTCGGAGCTGCTCCGCAGGGCTCTAGTGTTGTACGGCATAGGAGAAAAGAAATATAAATAATGACAGCAAAGAGGCTTAAAAAAATTATCGAACTCGAAATGGACTCGCAACCGCGCCGCTCAGCCCGGTATGTTCCACCGTCTCTTAGATTTCCCAAAGTCAACAAATAACATCCTTGGATTCTCAAAAAATTCGATTTCACTCCTGAATTATGGATAATGAAAGTCTCGCTTGAACTTGTGTTTCAAAGACTTTAGCAGAAGAAGAGAAAGAATATCCCGTCTTGCAGCTACCGTTACCGGTATTTCATGCTGCCGAATAACATAGTCACCCATTTCGTTCCTAGTCATCAGACACAGCTCTAGACAGAAAGCTAGACTGATATAGAGTTCGTTCGCTCACTTGCTTGAGTCGCCCATACACACTCACTAACCACGTACTAGCTATCCGAAAAGCTACGCGAACTAGCCAGAAGAGCTGCATTGTCCGTCATAACGTAGTTAGTATGCTGTCGGACTGGTGATCCGAGACACTAAAACATAAGTAACTCGTCTAAGTTTATTACATAACCTGGCCAAGGTTCGAACACAGCACGCCCGAAGTAAATGACGAACAACATAACCAATAATCCATGATACCTGAAAAGACTTTGGACTATCTAATGATGAAAGGAAATCAGTATGTTTCTATTACAGTTTTTGTGACAATTTTTTCAGTTTAGATGTTCCTTATCTTACCATTATTCATTACATCAAAAATATTTGAAAACAACAACTTTCTATTTCAGAAGATACTCATGAGATATATAAAGCAAAATATAAACGCAAACAACGAATTCTTCCACTAATATATCATACTGGAACAATACTGGTCTATTACTATAGTAATCTTCTTCTCTTAATGTAAGTATACATGAAATGAAACCAATTTAATAAATATTTTAAATATGGACAAATCTGATACGTCAAATAAGTATGTGCATACCTAAACTTTTTATTTTTGTCTATTTTTCTTAAAATCGTACAAAATATGGAACTTTATTTACTTGAATAGTAGTAATACAACAAGAATAGTAATAAATATAAATACAGAACACATTAAAAAAGAATGACAAAGCAACAAATGAGAGAAGAAATGTTTTTGATTATTAAAACTTCACGATGTTCGAATCTGATAATCTCCATTTTGTGTTATATAACGTACCCATGGCAAGGCTTGATAACCACTTTTTTCAATTATTTTCAAATACCGAACCTAAACAGAAGAAAAATATCAAAAACGAAATTTCGAAGAACTAAAGTTCTTTTTTGATGTGTTGACCAAAAATATGATGGTTCAATAACTAGAGAAGAGGGAAGGTCAAAATCTATCGATAAATTCTATCATACATAAATCTGTATATGCAATGTAAAATAAGATAAACTTATCATATTCAATATCAAGAAAAAGTCATTTTTTAATAATTAAAAGAAAGATTTACCTGTATTCCAGAGGTTGTAAAATATGGTATTTCAAATTTGACTTGAATAGGTGGTTTAGCTTCTAATTCTTCACTTAACACACTTGGCAATTTGAAATGAGCACGCATCAAAAATTCTTTACCACCCTAGAAAATGATCAAGCATACAAGTACAATTATAATAAATAAACAACTTATACTTATGAATATCTTTACATATTACTAGACATCTCAGTATTAACATTTTTAAAATATCAGCAATTTTACAGTTTAAAACTTCACAGTTATATTAGTTATATATACCGTTTGTTTTTATACGTTAGAAAAACATAATTCAAATTGTATGGACTAAATAATGTTGATTTTGTTTTTGTCAAAATATTGTTCATTGAAAGAAAAAAAATTTATCTATCTCGATTTTTGGAAGCAAGTAGACTCTTTCACTGAGTTTCAAATTATTTAGCCATGGTGGTTCTTGATCTGTAATTAGTTTATGTATAAAAACTGCTTTCAAATGGCAGAGCAGTTTTTATTTCATTTAGTTTCTAGCTGAATATACGTACTGGAAACGATTTAATGGTCCAAATCATTGAATTTTTTTCTGGAACATATTTGACATTTCCACATGTTGCTTTAAATCGACCAGTATCAGCGTCTGATGGTACGGGAATATAAATTTCAACATTATTCGCTGTGGATCGACGTTTAAATTGAGATTTAGATTTGATCATATACTCGACTCGGGAATGTTCATGTTTTTCAATGACACTTTCTATCCAAATTAATGGTTTTACCTAAATTGTAGAGCAAGAATACCGATTTGATTCCAACAACAATTAAGATATCTCGATTTTGATCTCAAAAATTCTATAGGGCGAAGCTACTTAGATTGAACGATGCTCGCTTTTTTTCACTATCAAACCAGATCACCATATATGCTTAATTACAGCTTGTCACTTGCTTAACAAAATACTGTAAACTATCTTACAATGTTTAAATTCGTTGATCAGTATTTTTTTAACAATTTTTTGATCATTTATAAATAGAGATAATGAATGGACGATCAAAAAAGCAGTCGTCAAGAAAACAGAGTCATTTAGAAAAAAATTCTAAAAAGAAAAAGCTGGCCAACCTGTGTATTTAACCTATATGACATTAATTCAAATTCTCCATCGGGTGGTACAAATGAAATTGTACGATCATTTTCAAAACGAGATAATCGGACACATTGATGAAATTTGACATCTTCTAATTCGACGCCTTTGTTTTTTGTACCTAAAATATATAACAGCAGCGTAGAAATATGATTAAATGAAGATGTTGATGCATACGTCCGGTAGATTCAAATAAAATTTTATCATTTAAGCCCAATCTCAATTCAGGCATTCCGCTTAGATAAACACGCATTTTGATTGAACCATTTATTTCACTTCGTAACACGTTACCATTTGAACTAACCTGAAAAGAAGAAGAAAATTAACTAAACGGACCCCATAATTTGATTTAATGACATATATTGATAAAATTAGAGGAAAACAAACCACCTGTAAAGAAAAACAGATCAAGGATACTTTTTGATGGAAATAATAAAAATATAGAATCATTACCGAATTGTATTTAGATTTTAGTGACGATGAAGAAATTTTTCCATTACTTAATTAGAGGTAATAAATCAGTAAATGATTATACTTAATGGTATTTTAGAGGAAAGGTCAAAAACTCGTTGTTCTCAACAGTATAAAATAGTGTATTTAAGTTATAGGAAAACAGTACAAGAACAATAAAGATTACATACTAATAAATTAACGGACTCGATAACATCTAAAAACACTTCATTTTTTCGATATTTGATTCCATCTGATCTCCAACTGACGGTATGTGTTAAAGCCGGTGGTGGTCTGACATCTTCTAATTTGTGCCCTTCTTGTGTAATATATTCTTGTAAAATTTTACTATCGGTCGATTGTGGAAAACCAAAATCCATTAATTCATCTAATAGTTCATAAACAATAACAAAATTATCACGGATACTCTCTTCTTCTAGTTCTTTAAAGTATTCGTTAAATACCTAGTGTACAAATAAAGTGAATGTTGAACTAATCTTAAGAATACATCTATTACACTTACTCGGACACATTTATACAAAAATGATAATACAAGAATAACATTAGCATTAATTTTGGTCGTACACACCACTACCAGAGAACAACAATAACCAAATGTTAAGCAAAGCACGATAAATAGTGCAATTTCTGGCTTTCTCAACAAATAGAAATAAATTCTACTTTCATTATATCTTTTAATGTTTGAATGAGTTTTATCCAATGGTTTATGATTCCTGGATATCCGATCCTGTCTCAATCATGATGTTACTTAATCTAATCAAATTAGCAACATTCGAAGGGTAGGAAAGATTGGTACAAGGTACAATGTCAAAAAAAAGTTAGATAGTCTGATCAGAAAATTCACCCTTAAATATCTGATAAGACTTTAAGAAGTTTTTCAGATGAAGATGGCTCTTTCAATATAAACAACACATTTTAACGATGTCGAATCAATAAAAACAGAAAAAAAGTCACTTCTTTAACGTAACACATATGTTTTAAGAACAAAGAACCTCATAGCATCGAGATCTTTGTCTGACATAAAGATATTGGAAATCACCATAACTAATCGCTCTTGCTGGGAATCGTTGAAAGAAAGACACTAGTGTAAAAGACATACAGTAAACATTATTGTATTTGATGTAAACAAATGCCACGTCACCATGTTGAACAATTGGTGATAACTGCGATTCGTCTTCTTTTTCAAGTAATAACTGCATAAACTTTTCGATTATATTCATTTCAATATCACCACGATAGTTTCGAGATATCAGTACCTTAAATAGACAAACATCAATAGAGAAACAGTTTGTCAAAGGAAGAAAGCAATTCACCTTTCCCTTTAGATCCAGAATATAAATAGCCGAAGCCGACATATTTAAGTTGTTACAAAACAATCTATAAAAAATTAAAGTTAATAATGTTTGGGTTACTAATTTAAACATATATAACAGAACATCTGTATTTTGAAACAGTGTTAGACGAACAATGCTGTTCAAATTTCACTAGGGGATCAAATGGCAAAACATAACAGTTTTTTGTATTTTTTTTAAGAATTTATATTCTCATTATTAGTTGTATGTTCTTTCTATACTCTTTCGATGCAAGAATCAGCTGTTTATATGTTGATCGCAAATATTAATCTTTTGCTTCGCTTTTTTATTAACGAGTACGTGCTCGAAAAACATAAAAACCATAAACGATTGAAACAAAATACTATGCTATAACACAAATAATGTCAGTCATTGGTTGTTTTACTATTCATTCAAAAAGCTCAACATAAAATTGTTGTCAGTTGTCGTTCATTTCACTATTATCATCCTCCTCCTTCTTACCATGCATATCAAAACAATCGCTATAAAACACACAGAAATTCTATTATACTATCTAATTTAATTCTGCAAATGTTCTGCGTCACTGTCTTGAACAATTATGTTCAATATCATTTTACAATTCATTTTTATGACAACATTGAATTACTTTTGCTTTCAGATTTTGCAGTTTGTTAATAGCAGTACTGACACGAGTGTAGATCAGTGTGTTTAATGAATATAAAGAGAGCATCCGTATAAATAAAGTGAACGGTACAAGTTGATAGACTACATATTTTGAAATAAAAAAAGAAAACTAACAAGATAAGTTACAGATCAATTACTTTATTTTCAACTACACAAAGAGAAAATCAAGTGGTAAAATGTCCAAAATCTGTTAAATAGGAATTAGAAGTTTATATATTTTTCACGGGATATGAGATGGTTAAGGATAAAACAAGTCTGATAGTGTAGAATGCGATCACAAATTATCTTAAGATATAAAAGAGAAGGTTCATTTTCGAAACTACATACAAACGAGATAAGTGATTGTATTAAATTTCAGTTTGTGTAGCTTAACTTCTGCTCTACATCAATATATGCTATTGTGATTTCTATCATCCAACAGGGTGACTCACCTAAGTAAGTAATAATATCACTTGTCTAAAAGGAGGCAATGAAATTGCAACTTTTGTTCTTCATGGTTATTATGATTATTCGTTCAAAAACTGTAGCTACTCATTTACGTTTTAGTTGATTTTCGTGCGTCAACTTCAACAGAGCAAAATTAAGCGAGATAGAATGACGGTTCAATTAATGGCGTGTAACAGAGGTTTGTTAGATATACCATTACAATATTATTTGGAACGATTAGATTTATGGACAAATGATATAACAGAGCTGGATATTCAAACAATTGAAGTTAGCGATGAAATATTATTGAAACATACGTTTGTTATTCTGGGTGGATTAGAATTAAGAGTAGAAAGACAGAATCAGACTGACAATGATCAGTGGCGGCGCGAAGAGGTTGGGAGCATGGGGGAGGGGGGTAAATCCAAAAATGAGAGTAAGGTCTCCAAAAATAAGCTCCTGACTCTCCGAGCTCATGGTGAAGTATAAATAATTGATGAGCATCACTCATTAAGTTTGCCTAAACGTTACATTCACTGTAATTTTCTCAGACGTAGGCGGAAAAAAATAGAAATAAGTCATCTAAGTCGGTTAAGAAAGCTTCTTCAAAGAACACATTTAATATCAGTTTTCGGAGAAAGCAGCACTTTAGTATTCGAAAAAACCAAAATCGGAGTAAATCATCCCTCAGGTTTCTCCGAAATTCGGAGTAAATCGTTCTTATCTTTTCTCAAATTACGAGTGAACCGTTCTTGATTTTGTTCAAAATCGGAATAAATCACTCTTTGAGTTTCTCCAAAATTGGGAGTAAAGGGTCCATGACTTCCTCCAAAACGGGAGTAAATGGGTCTTGATTTTGTACAAAATCGGAGTAAATCACTCTCCGAGTTTCTCCGGGATGAGAGTAAATCGTTCTTATCTTTTCCCAAATTTGGGAGTAAATCGTTCATATTTTTTTCACAAATTGGGAGTAAATTTGACCAAATTTTTTAAAAAAGTACGGGGGGTACACTTATCTAATCACGAATTTTAATTAAATAAATAAGCTCCAAATATATGTTCAGTTTCTGTTAAGAGTAGAACCATTTCTAACAAATCTCAAGGGGGGAAAAGTGCGTTCGAGGACGTGAGTGGACGTCCGCTGGAGGACTGATTCCATTTAGCTAGTTTTTTTCTGAACACATAGATTTGCAGAGCAGACTTTTCTGATCAAAACAGGACGTTGCACAACTCCGTGTGATATTGCGTTCAAAAATTACAAGCATTTTCCTACATGTTCTAAAATGGACCAACGAATGCACAGCAAAACACATTGTTTGTTCGAACATGCCCAGTATGGGGCACCTTTTTTAAATATATTTTAAGCTAGAGATCCCCGAGATCTCTAGCTTAAAATACCTGTGTTTTATTTTAAACTAGACACCTCACTGTGAGGGCTAATGGGAGTCGATTTTTGAATTAGGCCTTAGTTTTTTAGAAAATCAAGGATCTCTGGAAAATCCGAAAGAATTTCTCGGGTTTTGATGATCCTAGATCTCTAGAAAACGAACGAAGACCTAAATCAAAAATCTGGTCCCATCAGCCCACGCAGTTAGGTGTCTAGTTGAAAATAAAACCAATCTGAGATCTCACGCTTGAAATATATTTAAAAAAGTGCCCCACAGTAGTGGAGGGTGGCTTTTTGACCTTGGACTCTGAAAAATTCCGGAACGGTAAAAGATAGGGAGGAAAAAAAATTTCATAACCATACTTTGATAAGGCAAACCTTTGCTGAAAATGGCATTAAAATCAGATGTAAGACAAAAAAGTTTTTTTCTGAGGGGGTGTAACGGCTGATCGCCATTACATTATTCTCCATGCTTGATCTTATCGCAGTTTCTAGAAATTCTTAAAACTTCGAAGTTTCGCGGATTTTAGTGAGAGAGATAATAGAAGAAAGGAATTATTTATTATGTATTAATTTAATACAAGTCGTTTCCGTGGAACAAAACGAAAAACAAGTCATAATTGAAAGTAAATTTCGATTCTTTCATTATTCTTGTCAATTTTCAACTTCAAATTCAGATCGATGCTTGTCACTTTTCAACTTAAAAGTAACATTTCTCTCTCTTTCTTCTCACTTTTCAACTTCAAGTTCGCATCTCTTCTCATTCTCTCACATTCAGAGAAGGAGCTCTATTCTACATTACATCTCCTTATCTCATTCAAGTTATAATAATTTCTCTTATTTACAAAATATAATTTAATATTTTCGTTTCAACTGTGCTTCTTGTATTGCAATAATTTCCGTTTGCACATCCTCTTCTTCACTCCATCTCCTCACCAACATTAGCAACTGTGCAACAACATTTAATTATCAACATTCAGTAGTTACTGTTCTGCAGCTCGTTAGCTGCATCGGATTAATCAAAGAATATTCTTCATTAACTAATTCAGTTTTTTCTCCTAACGAAACAATTAAATCATCAAAATTACATTGTTTACTAATTTAAGATAATCTTGCATAATAATCAAGCTTTTGACGAATTTCACTAATCTTATAATTAATTTTTCCTCATCATTTTTTACTTTTAAAATCTTTAATTCATTTTCGAATTCGTTTTGAATCATGAAACTTTCTTTGTAAAAGATTTGGATATTGAAAGACTTGTAAGTGTAAACGGTTTCTAATCCTGTGGGCTAGCTTTTCTCTAGCACATGAAGGTGAGACCAATGTATGACTGTTCAATTTTGATACAACGTAAACATTCTTCATTTCAATACTAATCAAATCTGTTTCGGATAATAGAAATGATATCTGATTACTAATAATTAGGATGGAAACGATGAATCTAATTTTGAAAACTCCAGAACTATCTTCATATAAAATGCATGAATCATCTGTTTTTGTTACTCCCTTGAATCATGATTCAAGGGAGTAACTCTCATGCAAAACAAATTATTAAAGAATTTTTAAAAATTCTTCCCACGAAAACTTTTTTTTAAAAAGTTTGCAAAGCAACGCGTTTATTTTTATGTTCACATGTTTTCGCTCGAAGTTGAACGCAGGTTTTAAAATGCGTTCAAATGCATCATTTTATCGGTAGAAACGGCTACAAATCAACCAAAACGCGTTTCTAAGGATGCATTCAAACGCTTCTTTTTCCGAATAAAACATTAACAACCAGCTTCCAAAAGCGTTCACTACGACGCGTTTTATCCGTATAAAACACTACTCCTAATACGAATTATGTTCGTCTGATTGTTGTTGTTCCACGATGATGATGATTTTACATATTCATGAAATTTTTCAATAAAAAGTTTCAGTAATTTTTGTACATCTTGTTCAACAATTTCTGTTATTATTTCACTTGTTTTATTTACAGAAAAATATTTTATTAATTCTTCAAAATAATTCAATGTGACTTTATTTTTCATTTCTACATGTTCTAAACAATCTTTAATTACACTTTGACCGTTTTTTAAACATTTTTTTCCAATTTAATTGTCTCATTTATATATTTAAGCTTATTTGAATCGAATTTCAACGATTTCTTTCAATCTTATTTTCATTCTCGATCAATGTCTTATGCATAAATTCCAGTAAACTTGGATAATCTACAACTTTCAGTTTTCTACACAACATTCGAACAATTTTTGCTTTCTTATGTGAAATTCGCGGGAAAACATTATGTAATACTCGTTCGGTTTCTTCCATTTTCTGTTCACTATCAGACGAGAATATTTTGTTTAAAATTCAATATTTTTAACAACAGCCAAAGATATTTGATTATTCTCTGTTATTTTTCCTATTTCTAAAACTTTATTAATTGTTTCATGTGAAAAAGAATATTCTTTATTAACTAATTCAATTTTTTCTCCTAACGAAACAATTAAATCATAAAAACTACATTGTTTACTAATTTAAGATAATCTTGCACAATAATCAAGCTTTTGACGAATTTCACTAATCTCAAAATTGATTTTTCCTCATCATTTTTTACTTTTATAATCTTTCATGGATTTTCGAATGCGTTTTTATGAGTTTCCAAAATCTGTTGTTCATTTTTATCGTGAAATAATTCCTTAAATTCAACAAAATTATTCAGATTTATTTCATCCGGACTATTCTTATGTAGTTTTTTATTGAATTCTTCAATTGTATCTCTACCCGGGATAAAAAGATTGACAAAAAAACACGTTTTATTTTCGTTTTTAATGACCAAAAAACGCGTTAAATGTTTCAAAATCAGCGCATTTTTCTGTCGTTTAAACGCGTTTTTCTTTATCTATTCATTTGAGAAGGCATTTTTCGGACTTTCGCAATGCATTACTTCTGCGTTAAAAACGTAGAAAAAACGCGTTTTAAAACGTTCTAGAGTTAAAACGTTCATTTAGCGCCTTTTTTAATCGTAAAAACTTTGGAAAAAGAAAATTTTGGTAAAGCCAAAGATGAGACTTAGTTATCCAGTGGGACTCGATCTCAAAATTGTTGAGAGTCTATAGTAATGGAAGTACAAACTGATGATCTAAAACTGAAAAAGAACAAAAAGATGATACTTTTTTGATATTTCGATTGTGCTTATATAGTCGCCAAAAAACACGTTAAAGGTTTTAAAACCAATGCTTCTTTTTTGTCGTATAAACGCGTTTTTCCTTTATCTATTCTTTTGAAAACGCGTTTTTCGGAATCTCTCAATGCGTTAGTCAATGAATGTGAACGACAATGGTCGCGTTGAATAACGCATTTTGAAATGATTCGAATTTCTTCCTTTCTGTAAACACGTTTGGAAACGACACGTTAAAGCGTGTTTTTATATAGAACAAACGCGTTTCAACGATCATTTTAACGTTGCTAGAAAACACGTTCAACAAAAACGCCAAAAAAGGGTTAATTTATCAATCGTCAGCCACGCGAACTTCTGAACGACAAAAAGCGCGTTTAAACGGTTCTTTCAACGATCGTTCGCTAACGCGTTTCGTAAAAAAACACGTTTTTCGTGCCGTTTCTAACGATTTTCTTTGGGTATATTTATTTTATTTTTGTCTAAATATGTTTTTATAATTATTTTCGTTTCTTCATTAAACTCTTGTCCTCTGTCTTTAAATGTAGCCATCAAACTAATTACTTGTTTTGTAACATCAATTTTATCGTTACCTCTTGGTACAAAATTTGTACTTATCAATGTACTACTTGACATTTTTAATTGAGCATTTTCTGACAATGTATATTCACTATCATTGTCAACGACAGATTTCAATGAAGACAAAATCTTTTTTAATGTTGGTTTTGTTCTTATTTTCATACTTAATCCTTGTTCTACTATTCATTTTTCAAATTCAATTGATTCATTATTTTTATTAAAAAGTTTTAATTCTTGCTGTCAGTCTCTTTTTTTTGATTTTTTAAAAAATTGAATAATAATTTCGAATCATGAATATTGCTCCCCAGACAGTTGCTCCCGCGACAGTTGCTCCCGCGACAGTTGCTCCCGCGACAGTTGCTCCCGCGACATTTGCTCCCCGGGCACTTGCTCCTCAGCGACAATTGCTCCACAGACACTTGCTCCCGTGACAGTTGCCCCCAATAACATTTACTCCTCAATGACACTTGCTCCCGGAACAGTTGCTCTCCAATTTCACCTGGCCTTGAGCTATGCCTTTTTTGTTGACAAATTCAAAATAACTTTTAAAGATTTAGAAATCGGTAAAATTATGAACAGACTGAGATAATTAGAAATTCGTGC